TTTGCGACTAAAAAATGATTTTAGTTGCTACATATGATGTAAATAGGCGACTAAAAAATTTTTAGTGAGCATAAGTCAAAATTTTAGGCTACTAATTCTTATTTGCCAACAAAAGGAAGTTAAGTTGCCAAATAACAAGCTTACATTTTTCGGTTACTCTTTGCTGACCAAATAATTTTGTTAGCAAATATAAATTTTTGATGACTAAGAAAATTTAGTCGTTGTATGTTCAATTTTCGCCGACGACAAAAAAATTTAATAGCCAAATTATACTTTTAGCTACACAAGATTAGTTATTATTGATTAATATTTATCGACAAATAATAGTTTAGTCGCTAAAGATTGAAAATTTTATTACCACCAGAGCCCCTCTTCTCTGGTTCACACCAACACTTTCTCTGTTCTCTCACATACACACACAAAACAGTCACCACCAAACCTCGAGTCCAGATCTTCTACCATAGTTTGCTGACGTGGTCCCTGCCGTGGTTCCAAAACGACGCGTTTTGGCGTTAAATTCAATTTTTTTGTTTTTGTTTTTTTTTCCCCTCAATCGTTAAGATTGTAACGCCCTCAAATAATACATAATTCCAACACCCAATAGTTCTATGTACATGATAGATAGATCACATTTCCAAACTTACATCAGAGTTAATATTACAAAATGGGTCTTTCATATAAATCACAAATGTTTACAAACAAAGTAAAATGCCCTGTGGGCTTACATCTTTCCAAGTTATTACTTGGTTACACAAAAGAGGAGTTCTAACTCTATTACAAGTAAAGCCCTCGGCTTGTGTTTACATGTGATCAATAAAACAAATGACGAAGTAGAGTCTTCAACTCCGAAAATCCCTGAAGCAAAGATCTGGAACTTAATACGCCTTCTGTACCTGAAAATGGTGTCCCAAGTAGGGTGAGCCAAAGCCCAGTAGAGATATACTAAACCCCATATGAGAAATAACTAAAACATTAACATTCAACAAATGAATAACATATGTACACCGATTAACGTCCTTCTCATAATCCGACAACAATTACAGCCATGCTACCACCCATTTCTCTTAGTTAGCCGATTCAATTTCTAAACATGGTTCATTATCTAACCAAACAATTTAGGTGAGATAGCGCTCGGCCTACTAACACATCCGTTATCCTTAATTCAACATGAGACTACAACTCATGTAACTAATACTCCACTTGACAACTTTGTTCATGCATCTCAATTCATAAGGTTTCGGAACTCTCACCCCGGACACTTCGGCCCGTTTAATTATCTATGGAGCCCATCCCCAACCTATTCCCAAACCAGGATACATAAATAATGTGTTAAAGTAAATGAACACATATGGAGTACATGCCCTATCTCCTCCCAAACAAAGATACATAAATAATGTGTTAAGTATATGAACACATATGGAGTACATCCCTTATCTCCTCCCAAACAAAGATACATAGATAATGTGTTAAAGTATATGAACACATATGGAGTACATCCCCTATCTCCTCCCAAACAAAGATACATAGATAATGTGTTAAAGTATATGAACACCTATGGAGTACACCCCCTATCTCCTCCCAAACAAAGGTACATAGATAATGTGTTAAAGTATATGAACACATATGTGTGTATATGGAGTACATCCCCTATCTCCTCCAACACACTGGAGTACATCCCCTATCTCCTCCCTAACAAATATACATATATAATGTATTTAAGCGCTTCATCACATACAATGATCAATCAATACACTTATTTGCTATATTATTCCAACCATCACATTCGATGACATAACCCGTTCGATTAGTTTCAGTTTTCCCTAATCAACATACAGTGTCTACAACAATCAAGACTATCCTCCACCGATAGCCTAAAGCAATTATCTCTAAACGAATAATAAATTCATCAACAAATAAAATATTAACAATCTCATAGGTGAGTGGTTAAATTATCCAACTACACCATTTACTCCCACAATTTCCCAAATTAATTATTTAATATAAATAGGGCATTTTCCCTCTTTTCTCATTATCAACCCTAAGGTTCAATTTCATCAATTTGACAATAATAATACCATTTTCCAAGGTCTCTCATACACATAGAGTTTAACATTTGAAAACCCCCTTTTTATAACCACCAAACAAACCCCAACTTTTCCCAAAATTACCCAAGAACACCAATTAATCAAAATGAATAACATTTATGTCGAAACCCATAAGGTGAAGTAGGATATCCCTACCTCAAAAGATGAGACCAAAAGAATGATGAAGAAAATAAAAAATGCTCCAAACTTCAAGATTCTCGGATGGAAAGGTAACCCAAGCCAAGCTCTACACTTTTTACAAGGGGGCAAGGGTGGAAGATCACTCAAACTAGATCAAACCCTAGAGAGAAATTGAAAACTAGAGAGAGGAGCTCTCAAAATAGGGTTTTAAAAAGTAAGGGAGAGAAAAAAGTGTAAAAAATGATTTAAAATAACACAGTCCAGATCTGATATACGACTAGTCTGCTCGAGCGGAGAATAGGACGCTCGAGCGTCAAACACAAAAACATGACCCACTCGAGTGCAATAATACCCGCTCGAGCGCCAAGACACAACTGCAAAACGCACCCGCTCGAGCGCAAAGGGAAACCCGCTCGAGCGTAGTTAACCTCTTCCAGTATTTTTTTTAGACATCGAACACCCGCTCGAGCGCCAGTATACCCGCTCGAGCGCAACCTGCTCAAGCGTAAGAAAATTCGCTCGAGCGTGAAAAACACATCTGCAGTACTTTTGCAGACGAACAAACTACTGAAGGTATGCAAACTCCACTCGAGCGTAAGAAGACCCGCTTGAGCGGATCACCAAAAACCTGGGCAACAAGAATGGGGACCAAAGCTCAACCAACCTGTTTCAAACTTGCCCAACATAACTTAAAACTCAAATACCAAGAGTAAAGGATGGGAATAAGAATACGACGACAACACAATCACGGAACCGAGTCCGGAATACAATAAACAAAGATAGGAAAAACCGGGATCACTATAAAGATAGCCCTAACCCTTCAAGAGAGAGCCGACTCGAATGGTTCCTCTGACGCAGAGGAGGGTGGGCAACGACGACTCCGGAGGCGACAGCGGCTGCAGCTGGGTGAGGTGAGGCGGCTGTGAGGTCTCCTCTTCCATCTTCATTCTCATGTGGTGCTTAAATATGTATGTATATATATATATATGGTTTATATGTATATATATGTATATGATTTCTTTATTTGAATTTCTTTTTGATTTCTTAAATGGGTTTTGTTTAAGTGGTTTGATTTCTAAGATTTTATGGGTTTGTTTTCTAGGGGTTTTTCCCCCTATTTTCCCCTTTACAATTTCTCCTTCCAAAAAATAGGAATCCAAATATCAAATTGTATGTATGATTTTTCATTTGAGCATCTTCCTAATTACATTTTGCTGGTATATTTTTATTGCAGGAAACACCTTTTTAACATGATAAATGATCTTCCAACAATATTTGAAGTTGTGACAGGGACAACCAAGAAACAAGTGAAGGAGAAGTCATCAGTCTCAAATCATAGCAATAACAAATCTAAGTCAAATTCTAAGGTAGTAAAGTATTTCTACTTTTCTAATTTTTCAATCCCACTACATAAACTGAAGTTGTTGGTTAGATAATTTTGGTTTGTTGTGCATTACTTAAACAAGATATGGTTTGTGTTGTCAAAATGGCACATATGATGTGTATGTAGTTAGGCCTCAATGAATTGTGTTAGTATAATGTTCATTTCTTAGTTCACTATTTGATTGTGCTGATTCACAATTGTTGTTTTTAATGAATGAAATTGTTATATGTCTCAAAACAGAGCAGTTCAATTTTTTCCACTTCACATGAGTGTGTGTGTGTGTCATTGGCAATTAATTTTGTTAAATCTATAATCATGGACATTTGGGTTGAAGCCATAGACACAATATTGATGAGTTTACTTTGATGTGTAAATTTGAGCTTGTTTTTTTTTCTTCTTCTTTTTGTTCTTTTTGCGAAATATTTTGTTAAATTTTCATGGACATCTTTCTAGGGCATTTTGTTAAATTTTCATGGACATTTTGTTAAATTTGAGCTTGTTCTTTTTGCGAAAGATGTGTAAACTAGGAAGCCATGGACATCTTCCTAGTTGTTTAGGGCAAAAGATTTTGACCCTAACCCCTATCCTAAAACACTAATAATTGTTAAATTATGTTAAAAATTATTGATATATGATTTATTGGTTAAAATTTTGGGAGGAAAGATCCCGTGCTGATTTTAAGAATTTTTTTATGCAAAGCCATGAAATTCTTAGACTAATTCAAAGGAAAGGGATTTTTTTTTTTTTTTTTGTAAGTTTTCTATTTGTCACACAATTGGCTCTAAGCATGTGAAATAATAAGCCATACACAAATATATTTATAAGCCATAAGTTTTCTATTTGGTTCTATTTGTCAAAAAAAAAAAAACTAAACTAAACTAAACTCTTAATAAATATGCAAGTGAAATAATAAGCCATACACAAATAGAGAGATTTTGTGGAAAAATATATGTAAAATAAGACATACACACAGAGAAATTAAAAAAAAAATCTAGCCAACTTTAATTACATTGTTAACATTAGGTGAACCTCACGTGTACGACTTATCATTTATTTTATTTTTATGCTTTATTTTGTTAAAATGTTATGTGTTTATATCAAGCTGACTTTGATTTGGAAAAAATAAAAAAGTTTGGTTAGATGAATTAATGAATGAACATGATAAATTAGGTAGATGGGATAGACGTGTTTATATTAATTGATTGACTAAGAGACGGGTATGATTCGATATAAACCCGCTGAAAATTTTCATTTTTTGACTCGTCTTCACTTCTATCATTGAATACAGGTGCCCAACCAAGATAATTTGACAGTGGAACATACTCTATGCGGCCATGAAAACCCTGTTTCTTTTCTCTCTAGGGTCTTGACGACTCCGTGATAGCAACGAAATGGAGCATCTGCATATGGATTGCTGCTTCTCATATCAACTACGATTCATCGTCATCAATTCATTTCATGATCAAGCGTCGTCGTTGTTGATCTCCGAGCATGTTTCGTTCAAGTTACTAATGCTAACTAGTTGAAACAATCTTTTGATGACATTCATGTGAAACAAAGCAATTTTGGAAAATATCATTTTCATAGTTTTTATTTTTCTCATTTTTCTGCTTCTATTGTATTAATAGAATTGCAAATTTGAGTATGGTTATATTATATAGATCTAATCAGTCTTTTAAGAGATTGATAAAGTCATTTTGTATAGATCAAATGAATCCTAGGAAATTGTTTAATAAAAAAAAATTTAGTCTATCATATATTTTTATGCAATTTTGATTATGACTGAATGAGATTTGTAGAACAGGTTTGTTATATATCATTGTTTTATTAAAAAATTTAGTCTGTCATATATCTTTGGCCTTTGCTTTATCTTTCTATCTTCATCTTTGCCTTGATATGAACAATTAATCGATTGAATGTTAATTGATTTCAGCCTTATTATGTTAATTGACAGAATGTTTCGGTTTAATTTCCTTGATGTTAATTGATTTCAACATTGTGTTAATTGACTGAATGATAAACTAAGGATGTAGAGTGCTCAAGTTTTCCAACATTAAACTGGACTGTTTGTTTTTTCCATTAAAATTCTCACCTGGAGTGAGCTTGGTTGTTTCTATAGCATTTCATCTATGTATTGGACAATCATCAAAAAGACTTAATATTTGTCAAGATGGCAAGAACAACACTGACATACATTCCCAACCATTTCAATAATAGCAACAACAACATTTCAAAATTAACAATTTTCAAAATTTCTAAATTCCCAACTATTTCAATAATAGCAACAACATTTCAAATTTCACAATTTTCGAAAGTTCTACATTCCCAACCATTTCAAAAATCAAACTAGTCAATTACAACATTGAAACATAGTTACTTCATAATTAAAATAATAGCAATTACAAGTAACACCAATTACACATTCAAAGGTTTATTGCTTGTTGCATCTTCGCAGTCAAAAATCAAAGTTGTTCACTAACACTCTCTGTTTCTTACAAGTTCACTTTGCAATAGCACAACTCTTTCTCCTATAATTCCATCACTTCTTTGTGTTGCATTTGTAGGACACATTACTCATTGCTGGTACAGAAGGATCTCCACATTGATAAATAGTACACTTTGTTGGGTTGCAACCCTGCAAAAAGAAAAAGAAAAAAAAGAAAAAGAAAAAAAAAGCTCAAATTTACACATCAGAGCAAACTCATCAGTATTGTCAAGTAATCTCCCCTTTCTTTCTGGAAAAGTTAAATGTCTTCCGAAAACATAATCAATATGTTGCAAGTTCTAGGTAAAGTTTCAATCTCAAAATACAGATTTGTTAATGTAATTGGCAATGAATTCCCAGATCTGTCAGTTCACAAAACAATAATGTGAACACACATGCTTTATCATGTTTTATGCAAGGTAGTTAAGATACAGAAAATTCATAAGTTCAGCCATCACTAAAATGGACCTAGAGATTGATGAGTGAATAGACAAGAAAGGAAATAATTACAAAAAATAAATAGATAAGAAGGTAAAAAAAAGCATCAATTGGTACAAGAGTTTTATGCAAGCTGCATAGAAGACCAAATTTGTTGCCCATGTATGGAGAAATTAATTCAGCTGAAGGCGCTATGAGATATGTTGGGCCCCTTCATAGAGTGGAATGAGAACAAGAAGTTGTAGCCAAAGACAATTTTCAGGACAAGACTATAAATTTTGTATATACAATCTATTTTCATAGAGTGGAATGAGAACAAGAAGTTGTAGCCAAAGAGAAATCTCACTAATATTTTGTATATACAATCTATTTTGTATAATATATCTCCCATCTATTGATTCCATTTCTCAAAGCTTCCACCCAGACCCAATTTCAATTAATATTCCACATCTTCTATATTTATCTCAACAAATTCAATCAGACGAAGATACACAAATAAATAAATAAATAAATAAATAAAAAAGAATACCAGTGATCCAAAAGGATCAAACCCTTTAAAATAAAACAAATCAAAACAAGCAATTAAACAATACCCACAAGTCAACAAGTGGCACAAATAAAAAAAACCAACATATACACAAATGGGTTCGAAGCTTTCTTGAGCGGAGTTGACATAACCCATTTTTGGGTGAGAGACAAGATCGACCCCATTAAGAGCTTGTTTTCTGATTCCTGATAACTCTTCTTTGAATAGGGCATTTTAGAGCTTGTTTTCTATGAGCAAAATCTGATTAGACTTTTAATGCAAAGCATCGTGGTTCATACATTTGAAGCTATCAGAGTGGGTACCATTGGAACAATCAGTGCTCTGATTACCCATGAACTAGATGATTCATACACTTGATGATTCAGAGCGGGTACCATTCATACGCTTGATGACTCATAGGCTTGAAATACCAATCTTAAAAGTCATGAATATTCCTTTTTCCAAACAATTTCATACCTATGTTATAGTTCAGTGCTTAAAATTGGCTGCTTTAAATTGATTGTTGCAATATTATAAAAAAAAACTACTACTCTATTTATCAACTAAGCATGATGATGGTGCTCCCGAACTAATGAGAGCACTAGTAATAGGGTTCAGTTCAGACCATTCTTCTGTTCTTGGAAATTGATTAGGGCTTTGAAACTGATGAGAGAGAAGGGAAAACCTCTAAAAATCAAACCCATTTACGAAATCAAGAAGAAATCAAACCTTAGAAATCAAGCCCATAAAACCCTAGAAATCAAACCACTTAACAAAACCCATTTAAGAAATCAATAAGAAATTCAAATCAAGAAATCATATATATACATACATATTTAAACACCACATGAGAATAAAGATGGAAAAGGAGACCTCACGGCCGCCTCACCTTGCCTAGCTGTAGCCGCTGTTGCCTTTGGAGTCGCTGTTGCCCACTCTCCTCTGCGTCGGAGGAACCGTTCGAGTTCGCCTCTCTTTGAGAGTTATTGCTGTCTAAACGATTGAGAGAGAAAAGGGCAAAAAATTTTTTGAATTTAACGCCAAAACGACGTCGTTTGGGCACCACGGCAGGAACCTATGGCAGAGGATCTGGACTCCCAAAGATCACCCCCGCTCACCACCCAACCGTCGCTGGCCACCGTTGCTTACAGCCGTCGCTCGCCACCGTCGCACATCGCCACCGCCACCGCAGCAAATCACCACCGCCGCTGCCGCAAATCATAGTTTTTTTCTCTCTATCGATCTCGGTCTCTTCTCTGTCGATCTGTCTTTTCTTTATCGATCTCGGTCTCTCTCTGTCGATCTCTATTGATCTCGGTCTCTCGCTGTCGATCTCGGTCTTTCTCTCTCTCTGCCGATCTCTCTCTGTCGCTCTCTGTCTATCTCGGTCTCTCTGTCTCTGTCTCTGTCGATCTCGGTCTCTCTCTCCCTTCCCTTCCTTTATATTAAAAACAAGTTCTCCCTTACATTGAGATACTTGGTTGGATTTGGACTTGGACTGGTTATTCTAAGCCCTCCCAAATGCCTTTTCTCTCTCACATTGCCATTATTTGAACAATACAAATACAGTTTGATTCAATTTTAGGAGATCTTCGCAATTTTTGCTCTTCTCTCTCTACCCGAAAGCATCAACAGATCTGGGCTTGGGTACCTTCTTGGCTCCAATTCGATCAGGTTTGATATCTTCTTTTCTCTTTTAGATTTGGGTTTGCTTCAATTCCGAATTGTGGTGATTGATCGATTGTTTCAGATCTAGGTTTGATTTGTTCTTGGGTTTTGGATCTCAATTTTGTTGTTTTAACACAGATTGAGCTTCGAATCTATCCGAATTAGGGTTTTATGTTGTTTGATTCGTTCAAGAGGTTCGGTGACAGTGCGTGGAGCCGCCTACAGTCTACCATTGCTAATCCTCTTACATCAGGTAAACACGCTTTCTCTCTCTCTCTCTCTCTCTCTCCCCCAATTCCAAACCCTAACTATGATTTTCAACTTGTCAGATCTTTGCCCCTTCGTTGTTTAACCTCTCAAGAGTTTCTTCACCTTGAATTTGCTAAACTTGTAGTTGCTGCCTCCTGTAATTAATTTGATTGACGTGGATTGAAGAAAACCCCATTTCCTTATACAATTGAAATATGAAAACCCCAAAAAATATGCTTAAAAATAAATAAATATATCAGATTACACAAACCTGAGCCCATTGTTATTTGCTTTCTGTGTTTCTTGAAAACCCAGAGACCACACATCTATTTTATTCTTTATTATATTTTTATAGTTTCCTTCTAATCTGATTTACTCTTTCATACAGAGGTTCTACAAGTCACCTAACTCAGTCGTGAACAAGGGAAGGACTCAAATCAGGAACAAACAGCGAATTTTGTCCCAGGTAATCTATTTTCAACCAAGATTAAATTCAACATATCTTTCACCTGCAGTTTTATAGTAATTATTTACCTGTTCAATGTACGAACGAAGGTATCTATATCAATTAAATGTGGTTTCTCTATAAAATGTTACAGTTTGTCATATCATGCTATGCAAGACTTTTTGACAAATGGTTACTTTTTCTTAAATTTCTGTCAATGATAAGGGTTCCCATTCATTTGACCTCATCTTTATGGTGTTTGGAACCCTGTTTTTGTGGGCTGGTTATTTTTTAGCCTATTTTCTAGTTCAAGGTGGCTTGATTGTCAACCGAGCTGCCCATTGGCTAGCTTCTGCTCAATTCAAGGGAGTTTTACCTTTAGATTGGGTTCAGAATCCCCCTGCCTATCTTTAGGACTTGTTACTTTTTTATTTTCCCTTGTAGCTTGAGGGCATTTCCTAGTTCCAAAAAAAAAAAAAAAAAAAAAAGTGGCTTGATTGGTAAAAATCTTTGTGTCAACAATTTTTGGAGTAAAAGAAACAGCAACCCAAAAACAAATGCTTCCATTCTCTGCAACACTAACTACTGACATTGCCAGAATGCTGTTGATTCCCATCTATTAAATCCATGCAATGTGTTGGTTTTCTAGTGCAAGGTAGGAACACTGGATTTGGTTGTTTGTCACATATCTTAAGGTCAAGTGGCAACTAAATTTGGTTGCTGAATGAAGCAGTGTGATTGGTTTTGATCCCTATTTGCTGTTTTGGGACATTCCTTGTTGAATGCCCTTATGTTGTACTTTGTTGGTTGCAGAGGACTCATAGCTCATATTCATTGTATTTTGAGACTGAAAGAATATCCTGAGATGCTACTAACATGGTTTACTAACTAGATATTCGCATTCTTATAGTTTTCAAAGGAGAAAACAAATATATATGAATGTTTGTTTTCCTTTTTTCCTCATTCTAGTAGTAACTGGAGAATTAATAATTAAAATTCAGCTTTTTTCTAGGTCTCAACCTGTTAATGGATTCCCAGTTCTCATGTATTATAAAAATGGCATACCATTATTCACCTATTGTCATTGACAGAAAACAAAAAAACCTAGTTCACTGAATTTTCTAGCACTTCGTGATGTTATTACACACTTCCCGTATGTAAATGAATCTTTAAATTTGATCATTGTTGTTAACATAATTTGCTCTTGACAGAATGAATTACCTATCTCTTTATAAACAGAGTGCATGAATTATTTGTATGTAAATTTGATATGCAGATTGTTATATTTGTATTGTCATGACTGTTTACTTTATGTGGATATCCTTAGAACATATATCCCTGAGTTAACTTTTGATTCCAATTGCAGATCCAAGCCAGATCTATTCCGCCACTTTTGGAAGGCAAAGATGTTCTTGGAGCTGCAAGGACAGGTTTTGGAAAGACCCTTGCTTTTCTGATACCAGCTGTGGAGTTGTTACATCAAATCCGAACAGGGGTAATTGTCATCTGCCCAACTAGGGAACTTGCCATACAGGTAAATATTCTGGTTTTTATTTTATTTTTATTTTTTTTACCAATATCAATCTTTTCCCAAGATAGCCTGTGATGTTATTCCAATTATTAATCCTACACTCTAATCCTCTAAATTACAAATCTTTTTGTGATATATGTACTTTCTAAACAAGCAAATTGAAATGACAAAATCATTATAGAATAAAGCCATCCCTATTGTATCCTTTTTTCTGCAAAGATAATAAATCTAGAAGGTTAATATTGATTATAGAAGTATTTTTCCTTCATCATTTCAACTCTTCCTTAATCTTAGAGTGCATTTAGAATATTATTTTGTGGAAGTTACTTCTTGTTGTCTGTGTTAGATCATCTTCTAAGCTCTTCTCAAGCATTTTTTTTCATCATTTTCTACTAATTTTGGAAATCGTGTTTTACCTTCCATTGATTTAATTTCATTTGGTTTGAATCGTTAAGAAAAGAAAGATAAACCACTTCATCTTTTCTAATAACACTTCATTTGTTTTGGGGGTCTTGTTGCTTTCTATCTATACCCATCTACCAAATTAGCTGCATTCAATTATAATGGATTGTCATTTTTCTAAGTAACGACCTGGGCTAATCTTCCAATGAAATGATGCAGACACATGTAGTGGCAACGGACCTTCTTAATCATCATTCACAGACTCTTGGCTTGGTTATTGGTGGCGCAGCTCGCAAGGGAGAAGCAGAGCATATTGTGAAAGGAGTAAATCTATTAGTAGCAACCCCTGGCCAACTTCTTGACAACCTACAGAACACTAAGGGATTCATATATAAAAATCTAAAGGTATTTTTATTCACTTATACATGTCTTCAATTTCTTCTATGCTCACCAATTATGTTTGCACAAACTTTATGTGGGACTTATGTAAAATGTACCTCCAACTGAACTTTCTTGGTTGTTTTGTTACATATTCTAATGCAGTTGTGTTATTATCCCATGAATTTAACTTGAAAGTCTAATTGAAATCAAGGTTGTTAAATTTATGTTCTGTCATTATTTGTTAAAGTGATTTCATATTGCATGTACTGTGGAGATGAATAACTATTGCAGGCTTTCTTGTAGGAAAAGAAGAGACTCGAAACCGATTTCCGGTTTTAAATCTAGAGTCTAATTCCCATTTGTGAAAATTTGTCATTTAGAAACTATTGTTCCGAACTGGTTGACACACTAAAATGGTCAAACGGCGTCGGATGTCAACGAAACTTGACACACACAATTAACTAGGCACAAATAACATGTAGGAAAAGACGGGACTTGAAATCGGTTCCCGATTTTGAATCTAGAGCATAATTCCCATTTGTGAAAACTTGTAATTTAAAAACTCTTTTTTGGAATCGATTGACACACTAAATTGGTCAAAAGGCATCGGATGTCAACGAAACTGGACACACATGACCAACTAGGCACAAATGACTTGTAGGAAAAGACGGGACCGAAATCGATTTCCGATTTTGAATCTAGAGCCTAGTTCCCGTTTGTGAAAACTTGTTTACAAACTATATTTTGAACCGGTTGACACACTAAAATGGTCAAACGGTGTCAGATGTCATCGAAACTTGACACACACGACTAACGATGTGACTCCTATAGCCTAATCAAGGTTTTTTTCTTCCTGTAAACCTCTATTCGGATGTTACAAATACTTAACCTGTTGATGCCTTTATTTCAGCTGTTTTTATTTTTTATTTTATTTTATAAACCAGTGTATTTTTTCTGATTTGTTGATCAGCTCACGTTGTAACTCCTGTGTGTGTGTTGTTCTGGTTTTTGTTAAGAACAAAATACTTGTAATGTTGAAATTTTTTTCTTCCTTTAAACCTCTATTCAGATGTTACAAATACTTAACCTCTTGATGCCTTAATTTCAGTTGTTCTCATTTTTTATTTATCATCTATTTTATAAACCAGTGTATTGAACAAATTAAACTTTCATATGTAACAAATAGAATTCAAAATAAACATGAAATGGAAATTGGCTTTTGATGATGATAATAGTACTACTTGCATCAAGTCCAAATCATGATTAAAGTATCAAGACTTGCCACAAAGAGTTATAATACAAAATAAAAATAAAACCAGGAACAAGAAGGGAAAAAATAAAAAAAGAAAAACTAAGAAATGTTAGGTTAGGGTTTAGTTTCCTTTATTTATTTTGGGATTAATTTTGGTTATTTTATTTTCTAGCATATGATGTGGTGCTTAATGGACATGAGCTAGTCACAAGACCATTTAAGTGACTTAACAGATGGTAACGCTTTTCAAACTAATTCTATAAACATTTCTCTATGGAGGTTGGCTGTTGTCCAACAAATGGTCTTATGAATTGTCCAGCTTATCTTTTATCCTTCACATTTTCTATTCCTTTCATCAAATCAAGGGAATCATTTTTTTAATCAAATTAAAATAAAAGTTGGAAATGGTCTTATGAAATGTCCATCCCCTTAATTTACAATGTATTTTCCATTAGTAGCGTGAATTCACCTTTGCAACTTACGAACGTTGTGCTGAATCGGCAACGTTTTCTATTTCTCTTACTACTTTCTTTCTCTATTATGTCATATATGTAGAGTGTTGTTGTTGGAAATCTAAAGGTGCAATATAGAGGGCAGGTAGAAAGAATGGATGCATTAGGGTTCTTTGGATTTTTATATTTAACAATAAAAAAATATATGTAAAAGAGTTTCATATTGTTAAGTGATAGAGTTAGGTTTGGTTTCAATAGGCGACATGGTGAGAGAAGAGGCACGGTATACTAAGTCAGGACAGAGAATTGGTACAGGGGATCCGCAGCTAATATTTTAAACATTATACTGTTTCAACAATAAAATGATTACAATCAAGAACTTTGTCAAAACATATCTTCATAGAGACAGAGCCTATGAAAACCCCAAGGGGTTGATTTCAAAATGGTATGAATGCAATAAATGAACATAAGAGTTGCGGTGGTGTTTGGCTACAAGTACTCCTGAATCATAAGTATTGCCAGGGATCTGTAAACATTCTTTAATTACGATTACAGGGTTTGTTGTTCATGTTGTATTTGATCATTAGTATTGCCAAAAGGTATTTTCATTATTATGGACAATTGCTACGTCAGCAAAATATGCTATAGGATTATGTGAGGACAGTTATATCACTGAGCTTTGATTTGTTGCTTCCTGATCTTGTTGTAGGTGTTTGTCTTCTGTTTTTGTAATTAAAAATTCTTTGTTAAAGGCATATGTGCCATTGTGCTGCTGGTAAAATGCTTTGTATCTTGTCAAACTTTTTGTTTTTCCTTAATTGTAAAGAAATGCATGTCTATACTGAGTAGTTATAGATCACAAGGTGCATGTGTGAGTGACATGATAAACATGCTTGTTTCAGGAACTTATTATGCTGCAGTCATTGAGAATTGCACTGATTTTGTTGGTCGTGTGGTTGTGGATGTTGGTGCTGGCAGTGGTATTCTGCCATTATTTGCAGCTCAAGTTGTCTAAGTTTTATCTGTGTTTGTGCATGAAAATATACTAACATAATGAATTTATCTTTGTCTGTTGGTTTTCTAGAATTCTATCCCACCTTCACCCTCTCCTTTTCTCTGCCTCACTTTTTTTCGCTTATTAGGTTGGTGCTAAACATGTTTATGTAGTGGAAGCATCTGAAATGGTAGAATATGCCTGCAGACTTATTGCTGGGAACCCATTGTTGGCTCAAAGAATTATGGCGCAATTTTTTGTTTTCTTACATTTCAGTTTTAATGTTAACGGAGTTAGTACACTGTTTCTTATTCTTTTTGGGGCAAGTTTTCACCTAAATTACAGGTAGCCAAGGGTAAAATTGAAGAAGTTGAATTGCCTGAGAAAGCAGATATTTTGATCTCGGAGCCAATGGGTAAGCTTATCATGGCATGTGTGTTATTGATAAATTCTAGTTAACTATGGCATTTTCTGTGATATTATTACTATGCAATTTAGTCACACCATCAATGTTATGTTATCAAGTGTTTGTTTTTTAACCCTCTTTTCTGGTTAAGTAATGGAGACACTTTTGTAACATTATAGAATTGGCATGAAATTAGTATATGCTTGGACACAAGTGAAAATTGGGAAAGATAACTTTTAAAATAGTGACAATTAGCATTTTAGAATGGCCCTCCGCCTAGTCTATATTTTAGAATGGCACTCCGCCCAGTCTGCATGTTGGACAATCTATTCTTGTATATGTTTTTTTTAAAATAATTTTAAATATGCCAATATTTAGTCAATAGTAATGATTAATTTTATTTGTACACGTGGTTTTTGGCGTGGAATTGTGGATACGACTTTCTTTGACAAGTACGAAAGACATTGTTTTTAGTCTACAGATTAGTATTGTTCGTACATATTAGTTTTACACTACTAGAAAAGTGGCCTTTTGCGACTAATTATTTAACCGTCGCAAAAAATAATATTTGTGACAACCTTAATATTTTTTTCTTTTATTTATTTTGTCCTTGCCCTTTTCTTATACCTATGCCCTAACAATGACTGATTTCCCCCTAGACTCTCATTTCCCCCAAATCAAATTTCACTCGATCGTGTCTGAGTAAGAGAATTTGATTTCACTCGATCGTGTCTCGATTTCTCTTTATAGATCACCATGGCCGTCTGAAGAAGAAACCTCCAACGGTATGAACTCTCTCTCTCTCTCTCTCTCTCTCTGTGAGTCTCTTTGAATCATTCATTCGTATTTCAACTTCTTCGTCTCTCTACTTCGATCATTTGTTTCTTATCATCTGAACTCACTGTAGTGACAACCATAGATCACCTTTCGACGAAGCTTTGGTTTGAATCAATCCTTCCTCATCTGCTACAGGTACAAGCTGAACCATTCAATTCTTAATTGTGTATTTTGTGTGCTGCGAAAATGATGAACTTGCTCTAAACTTGCTTGATTTCAGTTCTGAATTCGAATTATTATTATTATTTTCTGTCATGTTAGATTGGAGCATGTGTAACATCAGCTAATCTGGATTTGAAAGTTAGAGCAAGGAGATAAATAATTGTGTATTTTTTATGAAGCTTTTATAGATTCGGACCTTGTAGCGTTCAATAAATAATTTTGTATTTTCTGTCATTAATTGTGTATTTGATTTCAGTTCTGTGCTGCGAAAATGATGAATGTGTATTTTCTATATCCAAATTTTCAACATTTGTCTTTAGAGGGACATTCATCATAATTTCATCCTCTTTGTTATGGTTTATAGTAACTGGTAGTTTCATGATTTGTTTCCTGATCTCTTTTTATTTAATTTCTAGGTGTACATTAAAATGTTAATTTTTCCCCCCATAATTGAACTATTGATCATGTCTTTTTTTTTTTTCTTAATTCATTCTCATTGGTTATCACAAAGAAAGTGAATTCATGGTAGCTCGTATTTATTGGATTTCATTGTGCTAATTAGATTTTGTAAGCCATGGCGTTATACTTATGGAATATACTTTTCTTATGAATAGGTACCTGAGGATCCAAGCGATTATTTGAACGTACGTATAAGTTAGCTTTTGATGTGGTACAGATTAATTTTGATGCGGTACATATTACCTTTTGATGTGGTACTGATTACTTCTTTGGCATGGTACATATTACCTTTTGGCATAGTTTTTGGTGGTACAGATTAACTTTTGGATATTAATTTTGTTTAATCCTCTGTTATGTATGGAATTATATTTTTCATGTTGGATTATACTTTGGTTTGTATGGAATTTGTAGTTCATTTATAATTTGACGTTAAATATTAATTTTTTTGATAGTTAAAAGTGAAATGTGTGTATGTTTTGTAACTTGTAAGTTAGAGTTTGTGAGAAAAATAACTTAAATAAATAAGTTTTTCTGAAATTAGCAAATGGATACTTTGCTCAATTTAAACAAAGGTCTCATCTTGATTTTAGTTACATGAAACATTTTTATTCTTGGATGAAGCATCATATTTGTGTTACCATTAGTTATGATTTTGTGACACTCAACCCCCATACGCCTATTAGATTACTGTATATGCATTTATCCTTGTGACATTTGCTAGATGATACCTTGAATTTAGCATTGTGTCATAGGCGCTTCAAGAAATTACAAGCAAATTGAATAGATTATTGCGTCATAGGCATTATTAGTTTTTTTCTGTCACTTAGCTTTTTGACCTTAGGCTTTTTCACTAGATAACTAGTTCATGCAAGCTTTTGGTGGCTCCACTAGGTGCAGTTTGGGTTCTTGTGTTGCTGTGTATTAAAAATAAAAATAAAAACTTACATTTTGTGGTTCTATTAGATGACTAATTTGTTAGGGAAAGTCAAAGTTAATATTTAGAATACCCCTCAAGACATGATAGTTTATTGATAATTCCACCAGAATGCTTGAGGATTTTTTTATTTTAAATTTTTGCTAGGTAATGTAATGGGAACAACCGTTAGACCATATTTTGGGGAGTACTATTGACCAGTGGCTCCTTCACCAACCCTTTAGACCATATTGTATCTTGTGCACACACATGTAACACTCGCTAGGCAGAGTTGGTACTTTTGGTTTTGGGCGGGATTCTCTTGCTTTTTTTATTTCTTATGCGATCTAACTGATTCCATTGTGACAAGCCATGGAACTTTAGTTTGGTTATTGATGGATGCCATTTTCACATGCCATTTTGATATATATAAGTTTGAGTCATTGAATGCTTTTAGGTTCCATTCCTTTCTTCCCATATTTTTGTGAGGCTACACAAGGTTAAGAGCTGGAGAATGTAATGATTTAAACCATTTTAAGATGTTATAATCTATAATCAATGGGCTTCCAAATAGCGACTTCAATTATGGAAAGTAGCAGTGTCATTGTGCATGATAAATAGTGTGCATAAATTGGTTTCTTTAGGATTGAAACTTTTTTAAGGTTGCATTTCATTTTATTTCTGTGTTTCATTTTCTGGAAAGAGAAGAATATTAACATGTTGAAAAATCCAAATGCTATTTGATACAGATTAGGGGAACAATTAGAGAGATGAGTTGAATAGATTACTTGTAGGTTGCGAAAAAAAAAGCTATTTGATCCAAATGCTATTTTAAATTTTTGCTAGGTAATGCAAAGCTCAATTTTCACTCTCATTTTTACTTTCTTGCCCAATTTCAAATTGTACTATTTTATTGTCATATTCATGAGATCCTGAGTATCCTAGATTGCTTTTTCTCAACTGGGTTTTTTCCTTTCTACATTTATTGGCCCACATACACATGTTCATTAGAGTATTTTTGTATGAGTACTGCGTTATATGTATTTGTAATTGTGTATGCTTTTTTTTTTTCCTTCTACATTTATTGGCCAGCGTACATTTGTTAATTAGAGTATATTTGTATAAGTACTGCTTTATATGTATTTGTAATTGAGTATTTTTTTTTTATTCAGATTAGATTGAGTGCAGAAGTTCCACCAGCTGTTTGTGAGGATTGTTACAAACGGGTCATGAATGAGTTCATGTAGCAATCAAAGGTACTGTTGTGTTACCATCTAGTTTTTGCTTCTATATGGTGTGATGTGATGGTTAGACTCACAAATTTTCCTTAATGAACATCTTACATACAAAGCAGGTCCAACAGTTTCTTGGTATTGTAAATTGTATGGCCAATTTTCTTCCTAATATGTCCAAATACAGGACTCCTTTGCAGCCCAATTAAGGAAGAATGCTCCCTAGTGGGATGGAATATAAATTAACAATATTTTGTGTGTCTATATGATCATTTATTTGTTGTGCATTTAATTATATGATCATTTTATGTGTCTAAATGATTATTTATCTGTTATGTATGGAATTATATTTTTGATGTTAGATTATACTTTGGTTTGTATGGAATTTGTATTTCATTTATAATTTGACGTTAAATATTAATTTTTTTGATAGTTAAAAGTGAAATGTGTGTATGTTGTAGAATGGTTGCTAATTTGATCATTATATGGATTATTTTATTTATATACAGGGTACAGGGTGCACTAACAATGGAATAAATATAGGTGGTTGATAAATTAATTTAAAAAAAAATTATGAAGTTTTTGGCGACTAAATATTTTGATAGCAAAAAATGCAAACAATGGTTTCTCGTGACTAAATATTTAGTAGTAAAGAAGATGGCACAAAAGACTTTTGGCGAAAATTTCTTGGGTACTATGTGTTTGCGCATGCAATTGTAACTAGTTTATTATCCTAATTAATTTCAATAGACTTGATTAACTAATAGTAATTTTAAAATTGAGTGGGAAAAAAATTTCATAATTCGGTAATTACCCGGTACGGGTATGACATGTTTGTCGGCATACCTTGCTTTATAGTCTCGAGATAATTCTAAATGAGAATTTTTATATTTATTTGCAAAGTATATATTATTTAAAATCATTTTCATAATTTGGTAGTGTTGGTGTAAGAGGCGGTACCCTTTGTCCAATCCATTTGGATCCAATTATAATTGAGTTTGTATGATAAAAGTCATTCAAATTATGACGAATTTCTCACATAAAATTACATAATTATTTAATGCTAATTGAATTTTAAATATTTATACACAAGCATCAACATAAACCATTATAACCTTACAATTGCTACAATCATCACTAAGGCCTCGTTTGGGAACAGGCTAATTTAGTAACTTTTTGACTATTTGGCTAAAAAGGTAGGTAAAAAAAACTTGTATGTTTGGGATGACTTTTTGACTAATTACGAAAAGATGTACAAAAAGTAGAGAGAAAAGAGAATCTTTGACTTTTTGGTATGGGTTGTTGGCTTTTTGGCTAATTTAGTAACTTTTTGGCTAATTGGCTAAAATAGCCTCTTGCCAAACGAGGCCTAATATTGTTGCAACCATCATCACTGTCACCACCAACACCACCACTACCCCACCACCACTACCATTATGAAACCACCATTGCTATTACCACCACCTTCATCATTTTCATTGTTATCAGACAACATACCATTATTTCAACTAGTGAAATTTCATTCTCTTTAAATACTGGAATTTAATCTTAATATTTAGGTGAAATTATTAAAAAAATGAAATTTCTAGTAAAGAAGTAAAAATTATAAAATTAAAGGCAAAGATGTACTAGCGAGTAAATAGAAAACTTATGAGTTAGAGAGAGATGTTATTAGTGGTTTCGTCGGAGCAACAAGTGATTGTCACTATATTTTTTAATTAGCTAATGATAATTTATTTTTCTTAATTAATTTGTTGGCTAATTAATTCTATAATGTGTAATTAAATTTTTTTTAATATTGTTTGTTAGGTTTTATTTCTTGGCAATCCCGTTTGACAAAACTCCTTTCAGTTGTATTTATTTTTGCACTTTTATGTCAGTGAGGCTATGAGTGTTTAGATGCGAATCCAACCCGAATTGTGCTTTTCAGAGAAGTTTGTGATGATAAAGCTCCCAAGATTGCCACTTCGCTGATTATGACGGGGATCGAGCCCGAAGCAAAATGCAAAAATGCATTCAAAATTGCCTGTCCGCTCGAGCGGACATACCCGCGCTCGAGCGGAGAATCCCTGGTTCCAGCAGTTTTGGTCGCCTGCAAAAGTACTGAGCTGTGTGATTTCGCGCTCGAGCGGGATTTCTGGCGCTCGAGCGGACCTCTGATATTTCGCGCATATTTTGCTGAAGCCCGCTCGAGCGGGATGTTGGGCGCTCGAGCGGAGATCGCGGGACAGATTCTATAAATTCGCGTGTTGGGTCAGATTTTTAGCATAACGACTTCAGATCTACTTTTTGGTTTCTAGGGTTTATATCTGGGGATACTTTGTGAGTTTTCTTTGATGTTTTATTGAGTATTCAACTCATGTTCTAAAGAGAGTACATCAAAGGTTGTGTTTTGTTCTACAAAAGAGAGTGTTGTTCTTCAGTTGTGTATTCTGAAGAATTCGAGCCTGAAGCTGTGGTGGAATCCAGAGTGGCTCATCAGAAAGACAATTCCGTGGTGAAGATGGGGTTGGAAGAGGCACATAGAGGTTGGTTCAATTAGGCGTTGTGGATTCGCTAGGTAATTGAGAGTATACCTGTGTAATTCCTTTAATTCTTCTTAGTGGATTGTTCTTGTGGCTATTGCCCGTGGTTTTTTGATCACAGTTGGAGGTGTCCAATTGTGGTTTTTTCCACGTTAAATCGCTGTGTCTCTTTGTCTTGATTGTTTGATTGGGATTGTTATATTCTGCTTAAAATTGATACATAATCACAAATCAACATCTAGGGGATTTCTAGATTTATCATTGTTTAATTGAAACTTGGTAGTAATAATTATTTCATTATCTTCAACTAGTGAAATTTCATTCTTTTCAAATAGTTAAATTTAGCCTTAATGTTTAGTTGTAATTTAACTATTAGCAAAGTGAAATTTCTAGTAAATGAGTAGAACTTATAAAATTAAATGCCAAAGATGGAATAATGAGTAAATTAGTCTATTTATTGAACGGTTTAATTGTATCATTTTATAGTTTAGGTAGTCAAGTAATAGTTCGTGACAGTTTCAGAGAAAGGGATGTAAAGTGAGACTTTATGCTAGTTTAAGTGGAGATGAATAAATTGATACCTCATGAAAACTTTAGGAAGGTCAAATACTAAAGGGGGTATGGGACATTTTCATATGGCAGAAGAGAGGCCTACAAAGATGTAGAATTGCAAAAGAATGACAAGTTCAATTAGAAAAAAAGTATGTTTTGAACCCTTTGACAATTGCTTCTACAAATTGTAATTTCTTTATCGACAAAATAGAGACAGAGATATATAAAGAGAAAGGTAGAAAAAATAAAAAAAAATAAAGGCTTGCGATGGATCTACATGAGTGTTAGTAGATCTAAAATCTGATTGCCGCAATAGTGGTGATGGACAATCATAAGACAGAGTTTGCATAGTGCTGGATTGTCATGAGACAGAGTTTGTATGGTGACGGATAATCGTTATGGATATTCAATTATTTATTTATGACAATAAAAAATAATATATCTTTTTTGGGCTTGGCTTCTCTCTAGTCCGTGATCAAACTGAAGGCAGCATTGGGCCCGTAAGGGCCTATCACAGGTCCCGTTTTGATAATTTGAGCCGTTCAATGTGTAGAAGTCGTCGAACACTATATGTTTGTAAAAAATTACATTGATCGGATATCGATAGCTATCTCATCGGATCAAATTTATGTCAATCGTTTATTTTTTCACCTTTTATTTTTTTTTTATACAAAACTGATTTGATCACATAACTATCGATATCTGATTAATGTGATGTTTTACAAGCATATAGTACTCGACGATTTCTAATGCCTCTTTCTCTCCCTCTCTCTCACACAACTACTTGCGACGGCCATAGCCACCGCCACCGCCGCAGCCGTAAATCACCACCGTATCTCTTGCAATTGGTTAGGCACGTAACTAACATGAAATTTCTTTAATGTTAATATTACCAAGTTTTAATTTAATTTTATAATTATTAAATAAACAAAAAAAATTAAGATAAATTACTAATAGGTCTTACTTTTGGGACTTATTACCCATTAAGTCTTATTGATAAATTTATCAGTCCTGTAAGTGAATAAATCTAGTCAATAGGACTATTGGTAAGTGACTAAAAAAATTATTAACTAACTATAACAGTTCAAATAATTATTTTATTAAATTATTAATTTAAAATGTTAAATTACTTTAATGTTAATATTAATTAAATTTGTTACTATTTGTAATAACTATTAATAATTAAATAATAAATTATTAAGAACATAATACTAATTATTTTTAAATATAATTATTATTTATGGATTAAAATCATAAAATTCCCTAAATTTATTTTTGCATTTAGAATATTAATTAAACTTTAATAAAGGTAAAATTACAAACATAAATAATAAAATTTAAAAAAAATGTATGATTAAGACTAATTTTGTTCTAAATTCAAATTTCTTCTTAATATTTGAAACAAACCCTCCAAAATTTTACCTACATTCAAATTCCCTCCTAAAATTTGGCCTAAATTTCTACTCCCTCCCAACCAAAAAAAAAAGAAAAAAAAGCAAAAACTAGCTGGAGAGAGAGACAGAGAGAGATGCGTTCGAGAGAGAAAGAGCGAAGACGAAGAAGAGAACATGAAGAGAAGATGGCGGGAAGAGGAGTCATTCGGAGCGACAGCTTTGCTTGCGACGGCCATTGCTCCATCCGGTCGATGATGACCCACCCCTCCGGCCGGAGCTCTCGTACCTCTTCCTCGCACCGCCCAATTTCAGGTACATGTTCAGATATTACGGTTTTGAGTTATGATTTGAGGCTTTTCAATTTCAAAATTAGGGTTTAGGGTTTTTCAATTTCACAGGTCCCTCTCTGTCGGTCTTTCTCCTTCTCTGTCCATCTTAGTCTCTCTCCGTCGATCTCGGCCGCAAATCACAGGTTTCTCTCTCTTGGTCTTTATCCCTCTCTGTCGATCTCGGCCACAAATCACAGGCTTTTCTCTCTTTCTCTCTAGGTCTTTCTCCCTCTCTGTCGATTTTTAGTAATTTATAGGGAAATTGTGATTTTTGCTTTTGGCTTAATTTGAAATTGACACTTTGAACAAATGAGTAAGGGCTTCAAACTGATATGTGTACTCCCTAATGACTATGCTTGTGGATTTGTATAAGGTCTTTTCACATAACAGAACAAACTGAAAAGACTAAAATGCTTCGTTTAAGAAAATTACTCCTTTTAATGTTATCTTGTAAACTTTTTTTAGAGCTTTATTTGGTATGGATCGGACAATTATTTGTTATGTTGGATGAGGCAGTTTGTAATGGTGGTTTCTAGGTTTGGTTCTATGTATCCATTGTTGAACTTTTTGAAGGCATACATAATGTTGTAATCATTGAAGTTATAGCTACTTGGTATTTTTGTTTTTGTTTTTGTTTTTGTTTCTTTGAGATTCATATGTTTGTGGAATTGCAGGGAGTGGCTGATCGAGTCTTAGTCTCTTGCCTACTAGTAAGGGTAGTTTGGTTACTATTGCAAGGGCATTGAGGTATTTTTATTTGATTATTTTATAGTTCATACCTCTTGAGTTTTGCCTGTCCTCTTGTCGTGGAAATTGGATGAGTGATTCATCTCACAATCACTCTGTCAATCTACTTGTGTAGCATCTTTCACACATGGAAGCATTGTGGCGGAGCTCTGATGCGAAAATTGATAAAGCACAGCCAGCCATTAAAATCAGGGTATATGGATGCTTTTACTGAGTATGAGTGGCGTAATACATGAGTTTGAGTTTAGATTACTTATTATAGTTGGAGTTCTGGGGAGAATGAGTAGGAATATGGATTTTTCTAAAATTGAAAATGAAAATAAGGCAAGGACGGGAGGGTGTTAGCTCAATAGAACAGGAAGGCTCACACTTCCAGGTCTTTTGAAACCTCATTAATAGTACTGAATATTCGCAAGTGCTAAAGTTTTGAAAGGTTAAGTTTATCCGTTATAAATACAAGTCAAAATCACATATATCCTTTAGTGATGAGTCGAATCTCTTTGATGTAAAATTTTGAGTTTAAACGTGTTAACTAACAAACTTAATAGGTAACTAAAAGTTTTTAGATTTAAGCATTTAATGGGGTTGCCAAACAATCCCGTAGTCCCATCTCTTTTTGTTTCTTTATCCCCTAATAGATTCTCTTTTTTTCTGTTCATGTAGTCCAGCATCAACTCATCAAGAAAACCCTTAATCTCTTTTCTGCTATAATGATCTGGGTGGAATTTATTTATTTATTTTTCATTTGCTGCCAGTGATACCTGCATAGATTCATACGTTTGTATATAATGATTGGTTGTGATGAGAGTGAATTTGTATTGTTCCCTTTTGCAGCTAGGGACAAAGCTATGGTTGTCAACTTAGAGTTTATAAAGGCTATAGTTACAGCTGAAGAAGTGCTGTTGCTTGATCCTCTCTGCCAGGAGGTTCTTCCGTTTGTGGATCTGCTGCGGCAGCAACTTCTTCATAAAAGCGTGTCCAAAAGTCAAGGAGGGGGTCAAATGGATGTACAAGATAATGAAATGCAATTATCATCTAGGGGACAATGGTTATCCGTTCCTAAAGCCGTTGAAGGTTTGTAGTGTGACCTCCCATTTGAGTTTCAAGTTGTTGAGATTGCATTGAAGGTTGTTTGTACATATTTGGACTCTAGTGTAGCAGACCTTGAGAGAAATGCTTACCCTGTATTGGATGAACCGGTGAGGAATGTTAGCACCAAGAATCTTGAGCACGTGAGGAGTTTGAAAAGCAATCTGGCCAGTTTACTTGTACGGGCACAAAAGGTATACATTATTGATTTCTTTTTTCTACTAGTTACAACAGATTACTTCATGGTGTTGGTGCACTTGCTAGTTATTTATTTATTTTTGTTTTATCAACTTTGATGTGGAAAACTTATACATGAGAAAAGAGGAAAGCCCATGTATACCCAGTAGTCTATTTTAAATTGTGTATCTTCTTTGCATAAAGTGTAAAATCAGGTTGGAGTGTAGATGTCAGTCGTCGGCCAAATTGGCGGCAATTGGGTCTTGTTGCATTCATTTTCCCTCTTTTGTTTATCTGCATGTAAAGAATTTATGGATGTGTTTGGTGTATCCTTCTAGTGGCTATTTGGTAAGATGAATCAGGTGTCCTTTGGGGAGGAGAGGTCCATTGAAGTAGAACAGCGTGTTAAGATAATTTAGAAGTCGGTTTGTACAGCTTTTGTGCTGTTGGATGCTAATATCAAGTGGGAAATTTAGGGCTTCTAATGGTTCAAGGCTAATTGTACTCTCATACACTTTTTGTGCTCTAGTCTTGTAATTTAGTGGCATGCTTCATAATACATGTCAATTGTCATAGATTTCAGCACCCCCTTGTGGTGCCATTCCATGCAGGAGCAGTTAAATATACTGCAGAAAACTCTATTGAACTGTGCATGTATGAACATAGCAAAGAGTTTAGACATGGACTTCTTTTGGCGGGATATGCTCTGATTCCCACAAGTAGTTTGCACATCTATCAAAATTGTGCAATAAATGCAACCGAAGGATCATCAATCATCATAAAATTGTGAAGGTGTAGCTGATGTCCCTTAATTTTAATAGAGACCTATTTCTTGTCATTATTGTCAATTGAGTCATTTCCTTGCAAAGTTCAAATTAAGGAGGCATCTATTGATAATGTTTTGGTAGCTTTTATACTAAATGTGTATTGAGGTTGTTACATGTGATTGATTCTATGCCTTTTCATTTATTTGTTGTATTACTTTTAATGTGGAGCAAATGGTTGTTTGGTGTTAGGTGCGTGATGAAATTGAACATCTTTTAGATGACAATGAAGACATGGCACATTTATACTTAACAAGGAAATGGATTCAGAGTCAGCAATTTGAGGCTTATTTAGCAGGTACGGCTTTTAACAGCATTGTCAGTGCTTGACATCAACTTCGGCATCTTAGTTCTAATAGGAGTGGAAGTTTATTGTTGAGCAACCATTTCTGTACTCAACTAATTTCACAATACAAAATTAGACTACAACCATGAGAACACACATTCAAGTCAGAAACCATTTTGTTCTTCCCCTGTTTCTCTGATCTCTACTAATATGAATGAAACCACTTTGATTATTTTCTTTCCTTTGTTTCGATTGCTAGATTTTTATAAATTAGTTTTGTGGAACTACTTAATTTCTAGTTGTTTGATTGAATGAAAAGTGCCAGCTGGGGTAGAAATCACTCATAAAACATGACACAACCTTCTCTTATGAGGCGGGTTCAACTTTTTTGTGAGTCCTATACCCATATGAAAAGTTGTGTTCAATTCTATGATTGATTTTTGTGCAAGTAGAAAATTGTTTTAAAAAACAAATAATATTGATAATATGCAAAGCTATAGGGAGGAATTTTCAAAATTTTGCAATGAAATTTTATCAAATTCTTGTTTACTTTTGCCAAAATTTCATCTCAACACACATGAAAGAAAATAAGAAATGAAAGAAACAAATGTTTTTTTTAATTGAATTATTAAGCCAAATTTTCTAATTTTGGCCAAATGATCTGAATTCATGGTTGAACTTTTCTCCATCCAAATATTGCCCAAAAGATTTCAGGGATAAATCCCACTACAAGAAATGACACTTTGAGGTCAAGTTTTAGTAGCCGAAGGTTTTTAGTGACTGAATTTTTTGGTGGCCAGATTGGTTGTTGACTAATTGTCGGGAAATGTATTGGCGACTAAATTTTTTTTGTCTCTAAAAGTCATAAATTGGGGACTAAATATTTTGTCGCCAAAAGTTCTAAAATAAAATTAATTTTAGTTTTCAGCAACTAAAACTTTTAGTTGTGGATAAGTTTTAGTCACAATAATACTACATTTAGGGACCAAAGAATTTAGTCACCAATTTTTTTTTTTCCATTTTATTTTATTTTTTGCTACAAACTATTTAGTCGCCCAAAGTCTCATTTATTTTTGGCTACTAAATATTTAGTCGCCAAAAAAAATTATTTTTTATCTTATTTTTTTTAGCTACTAACTATTTAGTTGCCTAAAGTCTCATTTATTTTTGGCTACTAAATATTTAGTCTCGAAAAGAAATTATTTTCATCTTATTTTTTTAGCTACTAAACTATTTAGTTGCCTAAAATCTCATATATTTTTGGCTACTAAATTTTTAGTCGCCAAAAATCTTTCGTATCTTTTTAGCTACCAAATATTTAATCGCTTAAAATATTGATTTCCTTTTCAGCTACCAATTGGTTAGTCACCAACAAGTTCACTTTTTTTTTTTTTAGTTAATAAACGTTTAGTCGCCAAAAACTTTATTTAGTATTTTTTTATTATTATTAATTTCTCCACAACCTGTATTTATTTCGTGCAACTTGTATATAAACAAAACAATACATATACCTGTTTCTATTTCACTTTCAACCATCCAAAAATTTATTTTAACATCAAATTTCATACAAACCAAATATAATCCAACCTAAAATAATAATTCCATAAAAACAGAGGATTATACAAAAATCATGTCTTCTGTACACAAAAAAGAAATATCCACAATACCATGTCAAATGGTAATCTATATCATGCCAAAAGTAATATGTTCTATGCCAAAAGCAATTTGTACCATGCCAATAGTTATCTGTACGAATAATAGTAATCCAAAAAAAAAAACAAAGGACAACATAATAACGAATTATAAAAAAAACAATGTCCTCCGCACATAAATAAGGAATATCCACTTTTTCACACCAAAAACTATCTGTAAAAATAAAATTAACCATTAGTATTGATTGAATAACGTCATCATTTCAAATAATAAAAAAAAATTATATAAAACTCGAATGTATATAATCTTTTCAAAATTGTATAATTATAGTCGTAATCATATGTTGCATGTCCGGACAAGTTTCTTCCAAGTTTTCCCCTCCCAAAATGTAATTTTTTAGTTAAGTTTAAGGCATTTTCAGCTCTAACTCCCAACCTATGTGTCCTACTCACAGGCCGTATGTCCCCATATGTTCTATTAGGCATGAGGAAGCTACCCGCGCAATCCCCAGAGTGGTTCAAGATTGTTTTGCATTTTCGGCTCCCCAATGCACTTTTTCGACTAAGTTTAAGGCGTTTTTTTACTCTAACTCTCAACATACGTGTCCTAATTACATCCCATATGTCCTAACAGGTCGTACTTGTCACGAGCAAGCTGCCGGTGACATCCATAGAGTGGTTTAGGCATTGTTTTGTATTTTTGCCCCCCTATGCCTTTTTTCAACTAACTTTAAAGCGTTTTCAACTCTAACCCCCAACCTATGTGTCCTAATTACATGTTATCTATCACCACAAGTCGTATTTATCACAAGCAAGCTTCCTGTGACATCCCCAGAGTGGTTCGCACGCTGTTTCGCATTTTTGCCCATCAGGCGCCCTTTTTTTGATAAAGTTTACATATTTTACTCTAACCTCCAACCTACGTGTCCTAATTACATGTCTTTTGTTCCCACAGGTCGTATTTGTCACGATCAATCTTCTCGTGACATCCCTAGAGTGCTTTAGGGGCTGTTTCACATTTTCACCCCCGAACGCCCTTTTTCGTCAAAGTTTAAGGAGTATTTTACTAACTTTCAACCTACATGTCCTAATTACATGTCGTTTGTCTCCATAGGCGTATTTTATTGTATAAACCAACCTTAACGAAGTAAAAATATGAAATTGTATTACAAAAAATGGATGATTATTATTGAAATTATATTTGTCGTCCATTATTTTAAAACAAATATGTGAGAGAGAAAAGGTTCCATCTTGGAGGTCAATAACCCATTCCAACTATTTCTAGCCTTAAAAAAAGAATATTGGATCAAACTCATCAAAATGAAGAATAATTAAAAAGTAATACGAATGACAGTTGAAAGAAAAAAGAAGTTATTTGCAAAAAAATTATGCAAGGTTCCATGAGAATCAACAAAGTTGCATTTTGTAACATCCGTGACAAGAAGCTTCATGTCTTTTACCGAAGAAAAAACTACTTGAGAGTCAATATGAGGTTATACTAACTTGAATAAATCCAAAACCTTTGCAGTGTCTTGTCTTAGGGTCAGTAGGTAGTTGCACAAGCTCCACGGGCCCAAAAGCTTCAAAAATCTGACAAGTCCCCATGAAGGACACCAATTTGTTATACAAGAAGTTACCTTGTACACTAAATTAATAGATTAGTATTCAAAAGTCACTACGGTGAAGGACAAAAAATCCAGTAGGATACAAACCCATTGAAATTCCCTTACTAGTAGAATCTATACGCAATAAAAGTGCAAGGTAGGTCTGAGCAAAAAAACCACAAACGAGACTGATCCAAACCAAACCACACAGTTTGGTTTGGTTTTCTCAATGCACGGTACGGTCATAGTTCTTAAAATAGGCAAACCATATTTTATGGTTCAGTCTGTCATTTTATAGTCATGGTTCCAATTTGGAATCAAACCGATCCGTTTAGCTATGTACACATAAATATTATATAATTTGTTACTTATAGTACACTCAAGCACCTTGTTAGTATCCCATATATATTCATAAGTTGTTAATCCTACTCTTTTTTTTTTTTTTTTTGATCAACAACAAAATTAATCGATAAGTCAAAAAGAGAGTCGAGGATAAATCAAAATTAATCCTCCTCTTACAAATGTGCTCTTGTATAATTGCAGAACTAGTTCTAAACAATTATTTGTTTGTAAAATGATGGCATATTATTTAATGTTTGACCATGTTGTGATCATATTGTGAACGATGACAAGGTTTATAAAAATTGTGGTTCCAAATTGAACCAAACCGTGTTTTCATAGTTCAGTTTGATTCCAAGATTTTCATGGTTTGTTTGGTTCCAAGTTTCATGGAACTGTAGGTTGTTGTGGTTTGGTCTTGGTTTACTTCAAAACCAGTCCAATCCGAGTTCTGAAAAGTACAAAATAGATACTTATCCCATGGTTGCAAAAATAAGGTTTACATATTATAAAACGATCAAGCAGAGCGACGAGCTCAAGCACCAGAAAATACAACTTCTGAACACACGTTCTTGGGGAAGAATACAAATGTACAGAAAAGCAAGATTGAGCATTCCCGAGAGTTGATGTGACAAAAAAAATGACTGCCTCAAAGCAACAAAAAGGTGTCTACCAAATCTTAAACTCTCCAATGTCACCTTGGCTAAAGCTATCATCAACTACAAGCTTAGCAGCTATGATTAGCAACTCCAAATCAGCAGCTGTGATTGGCAACTCCAAATTAGCAATTATGACTACTCATTGCCACAACCAGTGAGTAGTCCCCTTCAATACTTACTCCTTCCCAACACAGTTCATCTCTATTAAAAGAAAAGCCCCTCAACATGAAAAGGACAACCAAAACCTGTTAAAGTCTTGACTCCGATAATATCATTTTCCCCACTTCCAACGGTGACAAACTCTCACCCAAACAATGACTTCCTGCCAACAAACCTCAAACCAAAGGCAAAGCAACAGGATCCCCTTTGACCTTCATGGTCCTCACATAGTAGTCTATCAAAGCTTGGCAAAGCTAGAAAACCTCGACTGGGAAAAGACGGAGCACGCTGGCGCATAGTGCTGACTAATCACATATACGCCACAACTCCTATACCACATCTCCCAGGCAGCACCACACTGGTATCATACTACCCAAATAGTTCCCCACAAGCATACTACAACTCCGACAACCACTTCCTAGCAATCCTGCAGTATCTCATGCACATCATAGACAAATGGCACTTCTCTCCCCAGCCACCAACGCCATTGATTTATTACCAGCACTTGGCAAGCACTCCTATCACCCTCAGCATGACAAGCTCAATTTACCTTCGAGAATAGTTTTGTTCAATTGTTCTATGTGTCAAGTCTGCATGAAACTACGAGGCATGGAAATTTGCCTTCTATGGCTAGGGAAATTGGAGGCCAAATAGTACGAAGCAAGCATCATAGAGGACAAAAGACCTCTCACCTTAGTGGTGGGCAGAGATGGACCGCCAAAGGGGCTGGTAGGGGCAGTGTCAACCCAAACCAAAAAACTCATTAAATATTATAATATGGCCCATGTCCACGTTCATGCTCATGCTTCTTAGCTAACAGTGATGGTAACTCAAAAAAAAA